ATTGAAGCAAAAAGACGAGATTGTTTGCTTAGTTTTCGAAAAGCAACCAATTCAGCATCCGCCGTACCAGCGTCCTCGGTGCTTTCTGATTATAGCTAACAAGGATTTGAACACCTTATGCAAAGTTTTTTCGACAAACACACAGACAGACACACGCACACACACACCTGTCTGTACTCCACTCCCTCAACGACACAGAGAGTGCGTTAGTGACACTGGTATTGATGACGATGATAGAAACGATTTCACTATTGACACAATGCTCTTCCTGTTACTGCAGCCCCGCTTTCTGGATGTGTCGTCGCTTCGACAGTGCTGATTAACGATTATGTGTAAAATGGATTAGTCCGTGGCGCAACTAATCCCAAAAACGAAATTGATTGAAAAAAGCGACCATTGGATTTGGAGGCACGAAAGCGTCTCACGTACGGACACTGTTCTGTTTCATGTACGGACATTTGCTACACTGACTGTTTCACGTACGGATATAGTTCCATGCTAACTGTTTCATGTACACCCTGTAGCACCGTGCTTTTACAAGGCGAATTTTGCAACGTGTCCCGTGATACCGCTGGTGGCTATCCTCGACGGGGAGCAACTGGTGTTGTTGGGCAAGTGTTCTCATCCTCCGGTCGATTCCACTTGTCTCCACGTAAAAGACCAAGATCTCAGTTTTGAAAATTTCAGTGCTATCACTTTCTTAGCATACTTTATGGTGCTACACTACGAACTGCTAAACTGGATTTCCTATATTGTTAGTTTCAAAATGCGCGAAATGATTTTTACTGGATCAAATTCATCCGGAATTTCCATGTTTTTTTTTAAAAGAAAACATTGAAAATTTAGTCTACTGCTAGGAGTCCAGTTCACTGCTTGCTCTTGCTGCTACTGCTGCTTTAATCAAACCGACAGGCAGGTTTGTTGATTTGACCTAAATACCTTCCACTTGAAACATCCAGAGGAAGAAGACGGATGCCACATCTGCACCATCAGCATCGCCTCCTGCTCCAGTCCGAAATCTCCAAGCATCGGCTACGTGAACGCTTTCAAGTTGTTGTGATGAACGATTACGACAACGCAGATCAGTGGTATCTGGAATATGACGAGGCACCGGAGCTATCGCCAGATGGATCATCTGAAACGCCACAAGAATCAGCTCCAATACCACGCAGTTCATTACGTCGTTCACGAAAGCTTATTCACGCGCCAACTTATTATTATCCAACTAGCTATCCGGATGCACCGAATTATCCGATAAAACTGTGCGGCGCTAATCACAACAGTCATCAACACCACCATGAAAACTA